CCTAAAAACCAAGAAAGGGTAGTTCAACAATGAATGGAAATCTTCTCCTAACCATCAGGCAAAAGGCCTAGGAGGAGGAGGATGTTATTTAAAAAGGCTATGACCATAGGCGGAGGAGTAAAGGCTTATGCGCAGGTTTTCCGTGTCAAGAACAAGTTCATGTCAAGCGAGTCGGAGGATGGCTACCGTGCCCTGACCATCTGTGTTCTTTTCTTCCACGAGCTGCGGGATGCGAATCGGGGGGGGGGATTCAAGTGCATGACATGAAAGATCCCACCAGCTTAAGCTCAAGGTACTCAACCCTGCCCATGGCCCTCCTCTTCCTTCTGCTCCTATTCCTCCTCCTCCTCCTCCTCCCTCCTGCTGCTGCTGCTACTGATGATAATGATTCTCCTCCTTCTCCTCCTGCTCTTCCTCGTGCTCTCCCTGATCCTCTTCCTCCTCCTCCTCCTCCTCCTCCTCCTCCTCCTCCTCCTTCTCACCGTTTCTCCTTCAGATGCACAAACTGTATCGTATCCTCCGAGCCGAGTCCCTCCGAGACATCTAGCCATTGACACTCGGCGTTGCTTCTTCCCCTCCTTCTCACTCCAGCTTCTCTTGACATGTTTCCGGCCTCTTCTCTATCTTATCAATTCTTGTGTATCATAAAAGATCTTCAATGCTGCTGAAACTTCGGCTACCATCAGGCTCTCCTTCCCGGCCGAGTTCGTTCCGAGGCTTCCGAACGGCACTCACGGGGTGTGACTACCGCCGACGTCCGAGTCGGCGGGACTCAGTGACTCGTCGAGTCACTGAGTCTTGTCCGATTATGCCCTTGAAAGGCCGCCCGCGGCCCGGCGTGCCGCAGTGCGCGGCCGCCGCCGACCGGTCGAAGCCTTGACGGCGGCGAGCCTCAGGCGAGGCCCGGGGGGCCGCAGTGCGGCATGACCGGACTCCCAGCAAAACGATAACGTACGGTGACGGCGTCAGCGTGGGGACTCGGAGGCCCGGCGGGCATGGCGATGGCAGTCAGTCGTCGGATGTAAATTCGCCGCCGGGGTCCCGCCGGTGCCCGGCGGCCGGGCCCGGCGGCCCGGCCAGGGATCCGGGACCGTGACTAGAGTCGGTCACTGAGTCAGTGAGTCAGGTACGGTCCCCCCCCCGGTCACGCCGCCGGGACCGTACGGCCCAGTGACTGAACTTAGTTCGGAAGGCTCGGCGGGCCGTCCGGGAGTCAGATTGCGCATACACGGTGGCGCTGGCGGCTAACTGCGCTCCCGGGCGGTTTCACCTGATAACCGTGAAATCAAACTTAAGTAAAGTCTGGGACTACCCTACCTACGAGCAAAGGTTTTAGTTATATAGTAATTTATTTTAGTTATCATGAGTTGAGTTCAGTTTGTCTATTTCAGGTCGATTTTATCAAAATGCACTGGTGGGGGGGGAAAGGAGGGATGATGATGGAGATGATGATGATGATGATGATGGAGATGGAGATGATGGAGATGATGATGATGGAGATGATGATGATGATGATGATGGAGATGATGATGATGGAGATGGAGATGATGATGATGATGGAGATGATGATGATGATGATGATGA